CCAGTCCTGTTGCCTTAGTGTATCCCCGTGCCTGTTATCTAGGTGACTCTCCTGTTCCTGTTGCCTAAGTGTATCCCCGTGTCTGTTATCTAGATGACTCCCCTGTTCCTGTTGCCTTAGTGTATCCCCGTGTCTGTTATCTAGGTGACTCCCCACTTCCTGTTGCCTTAGTGTATCCCCATGCCTGTTATCTAGGTGACTCCCCACTTCCTGTTGCATTAGTGTATCCCCATGCCTGTTATCTAGGTGACCCACCAGTTCTTGTTGCCTTAGTGTATCCCCATGCCTGTTATCTAGGTGACTCCCCTGTTCCTGTTGCCTAAGTGTATCCCCGTGTCTGTTATCTAGATGACTCCCCTGTTCCTGTTGCCTTAGTGTATCCCCGTGTCTGTTATCTAGGTGACTCCCCAGTCCTGTTGCCTTAGTGTATCCCCATGCCTGTTATCTAGATGACTCCCCACTTCCTGTTGCCTTAGTGTATCCCAATGACTGTTATCTAGATTACTCCCCTGTTCCTGTTGCCTTAGTGTATCCTCATGCCTGTTATCTAGGTGACTCCCCTGTTCCTGTTGCCTAAGTGTATCCCCGTGTCTGTTATCTAGATGACTCCCCTGTTCCTGTTGCCTTAGTGTATCCCCGTGTCTGTTATCTAGATGACTCCCCACTTCCTGTTGCCTTAGTGTATCCCCGTGCCTGTTATCTAGATGACTCCCCTGTTGCCTTAGTGTATCCCCGTGCCTGTTATTTAGGTGACTCCCCAGTTCCTGTTGCCTTAGTGTATCCCCGTGTCTGTTATCTAGGTGACTCCCCAGTTCCTGTTGCCTTAGTGTATCCCAATGACTGTTATCTAGGTGACTCCCCACTTCCTGTTGCCTTAGTGTATCCCCATGTCTGTTATCTAGGTGACTCTCCTGTTCCTGTTGCCTTAGTGTATCCCCGTGTCTGTTATCTGGATGACTCCCCTGTTCCTGTTGCCTTAGTGTATCCCCGTGTCTGTTATCTAGGTGACTCCCCAGTTCCTGTTGCCTTAGTGTATCCCCGTGTCTGTTATCTAGGTGACTCCCCTGTTCCTGTTGCCTTAGTGTATCCCCATGCCTGTTATCTAGGTGACTCCCCACTTCCTGTTGCCTTAGTGTATCCCCGTGTCTGTTATCTAGGTGACTCCCCACTTCCTGTTGCCTTAGTGTATCCCCGTGCCTGTTATCTAGGTGACTCCCCTGTTCCTGTTGCCTTAGTGTATACCTCTGCCTGTTATCTAGGTGACTCCCCAGTTTCTGTTGCCTTAGTGTATCCCCGTGTCTGTTATCTGGATGACTCCCCTGTTCCTGTTGCCTTAGTGTACACCCCTGCCTGTTATCTAGGTGACTCCCCAGTTCCTGTTGCCTTAGTGTATCCCCATGCCTGTTATCTAGGTGACTCTCCTGTTCCTGTTGCCTTAGTGTATCCCAATGACTGTTATCTAGGTGACTCCCCACTTCCTGTTGCCTTAGTGTATCCCCGTGTCTGTTATCTAGGTGACTCCCCACTTCCTGTTGCCTTAGTGTATCCCCATGCCTGTTATCTAGGTGACTCCCCAGTTCCTGTTGCCTTAGTGTATCCCCGTGTCTGTTATCTAGGTGACTCCCCACTTCCTGTTGCCTTAGTGTATCCCCGTGTCTGTTATCTAGGTGACTCCCCAGTTCCTGTTGCCTTAGTGTATCCCAATGACTGTTATCTAGGTGACTCCCCACTTCCTGTTGCCTTAGTGTATCCCCGTGTCTGTTATCTAGGTGACTCCCCACTTCCTGTTGCCTTAGTGTATCCCCATGCTTGTTATCTAGGTGACTCCCCAGTTCCTGTTGCCTTAGTGTATCCCCGTGTCTGTTATCTAGGTGACTCCCCACTTCCTGTTGCCTTAGTGTATCCCCGTGCCTGTTATCTAGGTGACTCCCCAGTTCTTGTTGCCTTAGTGTATCCCCATGCCTGTTATCTAGGTGACTCCCCAGTTCCTGTTGCCTTAGTGTATCCCCGTGCCTGTTATCTAGGTGACTCCTCATTTCATGTTGTTTTATGGTATCCATAGCTGTTCTTTCTAATACGTCGACTTTTCTGCTCCGTATGTTTTCTCTTTTGATATAAGGGCATGTCCTATAAACAGATAGGTCATGTCCTATAAATAGATAGGGTCATGTCCTATAATTAGATATGGTCATGTCCTATAAATAGATAAGCATTTAAAATGGCCCTGGCCATTAACGGAGTTAGCAAACAAGCAATTATAGATATATCTTAATTCTTTTGTATCCATAAGTTAAAAATAATCACACGAACAATGCAGATGTAACATGTATTTCTTGTTCGAATTTATATTATTGCTTGCCAATAACAGTACAGATAGTGACATATCTTAAAGGAAAGATCTATATAAATAATGTTATTGTTTTGTTGTGTAATGGAATCACGAAATTTAAATTTGATGAATACGTACACTATTTGTCATTATGAGTGATAAATAATACCAGTTATACATTAAAGTATGTCCCTGTTAATGATATGTCGTCGTTTATTTCACGAAGAACAATTAAATAAATTTAAATAGACATTTTTATCAATTACTTAGTAATTCAATACGTAGCAATCAATCATTTATGAGAGAATACACATATCGTTACATTGTCATCGAGGGGGAGGGGGGTCACATGATCGATCATATTAACAATTATCAATTAATTTGTTGTCAGAAATATCATGAATTTCTTTTCATCAACGCTGTAATAAAACAAGAACGCATTGGGATGTGATTGATTTATTGTTTGGAGAAAATAAATTTGCTGAAAAGTCACGTGCTGATGGATTCTGAACCGTAATGTTATGGCAAAAAATAATTAATTTCAACACTTGTCAAAGAGTCAGTGAAGAAACTGTCAGTTTTTCCAATCCAAAGTGTTGAAAACAAATCCAACTTGTTTCATTTTTCTATTCTGTTTAATATTGGTCAGATGAGTTCAGAACCGTTATCAAACTTCCATTCAGTACACCCCCTCTTCCCTCCCCCCTCCTCCCTCACGTACAATATTATTCCAAGGAAATCTGAAGAAAATTCGAAGTGTTTAGGTTCCACGTGTATATATACAGCTAGTCAAGTCTGCATAATATAGACTTAACATCGATTACAAACCTATTTATAATCGATATTATAACCGCTTCATAAACTATCCAATTTTTCAACTACACTTATACAACGTTATGACTAACAAAGTGCACGTTTATGTGCAAAGTGTACCAATAAAATGATTTGTCATCCACCCTGTTTGACCTAAACATGTCTAAATTTAAAAGTCAGGTAGCGAATTACCTGTCTGTGATATATTGTAGTATTTCAGCCATATTATCTCGTATTGATGATTTACATAAAGAGGTATTCAGAGCTGAAATCAAGCTTGTCTCATGGTAGTCATATTAGAATACGCTTACTGTACGGCGACCTGTATGCACAATATATAGGTATGATCTTACATGTGTAAAAATTTATGAAACAAGTCTGATATTTTTGTGACAAAAACGAATTTAAGATTCTTTTTATCACATAATCATTACTAATTTTTGTAAATAGTAACGTGATATTCTATAACCTCCATTGTGACGTCAAAATAAAATCTTCAAACGTGTGCTATGTGACGTCATTTCAGCATTTTCTTCGGACGTCACAATTGGTAATATTCCTTGATATATGCATGTATGATCATGATTGCTGAGAAATGTGAAGGATTATTCATATTTCCAAAGATCGTCGCCCTCCGGAAATGTAACATTTGAGGGTAGATAAACTTTCGTATAACCAGTGATAAATTGTTTAAAATTCCGGAAAAACCGACCATGTTATGATGGTACCAACATTTTCTATTCATGACACCATGTTCAGTTGACCATATCCACTTTTCTACGATTAATGGTTCAGGTTCGAACTAGTTTCCTTCCAAAATTCTCTGAAACAGGTCAAGGTCACTTAAGATTTTGTTATTCTATTTATATTGCATCGATTTTGATGTCTTTTATATTGTAACGTCGTTTGTTTTCGATGATAACATATGGAAGGGAGACAACTCTGGCGGAATATGACGTAACTTGCCATGGAAGTACGCGCTCAAAGGAAAACCTCCCTGTCAGATTTTGTTTATCAACCAATCAGTGGCATCGTTTCAAATCAGCTGTATAATTAACATGTTGTGAGCTCGCGCGATGGGAGACCCTATACTATTAATTATAATGTCTTAATACGTGAGAGCCAACTCTCTATCAAACAGACATTTAAGTTCTTCTCGACAGTTCAGCTTTGGATTTGGTGAGAACGCATTGTTACAATCACTTATTCAGTGTACTTTTGCTAGGTTTGGTGCACGTAGCTATTCCAGTGATATCCAATCTCTTTAAAACGTGATATGTTTAAAAGATATAAACGTTATTTACTTTTCTAAACCTTCCGAAAAAATTCATAAAGTTAAAAATGAACGGACATGAATTACACAGTGTAATTTTCTATCTGTCTGATCGTCCGATAGGTACACAATATACAGTCATGTAGGTGATGAATTCCTGTACATTTTGATGAAAAATAAAATCTTTATAGTATAAGGAATTAAATTCAAGTTTTTAACTAGCCCTTTAAAAAAGTTTATTTATTTGTATTTCATATCCGCTGTAAATGCCATATGAGATCAGATCAATGATTTAATGCATAATTAAAAAATATCAATTACTTTATCGTTCATACAACAGGTAAAAATGGCTACATCCTCTGATCTTATAATTGTAATATTTAGCCGCGAAGTCTCCCCGTACCTCAACTCATATCACTAGTTGAAGGTTAAATCGTTGAACGGTAAGTTATATTCTGTACACAAACAGAGGGACTCGAGGTACACTACAAATACGCCTGCTTATACATCGGTTACCTTTAAATGAAAGAATACACATCACGGAGCACTGCGTTCTCTAGCAGTACTATATAGCTGTAGTGTAGTATCACTCAGTCAAGATCAGCCTGGATATTATCGTTTAGTAGTGTCGTACTATGTAGTGATCCATCATATCGGGGATATTTACTATCAATTCATTTACGGAACATTCCCAGCTGATACATACGGTAAGGTAAATTCTGAAATATTATTATTCATATTTACTTTTTTTTATTCTAGAATATATACTATTTCCTATAACATGTTTACCATGTTGAATATGCTATATATATGTCATATTATGGTGGATATCTTTAATGACAAGACATCCAATTGTATACCCCTAATGACGAGATATATACCTTATAACGAGGTACGTACCCTTTATCACGAGGTATGTACCCTTTATCACGAGTTATGTACCCTTTATCACGAGGTATATACCCTTTATCACGAGTAATATACCCTTTATCACGAGGTATGTACCCTTTATCACGAGGTATAAACCCTTTATCACGAGGTATGTGCCCTTTATCACGATGTATGCACCATTTATCACGAGTTATGTACCCTTTATCACGAGTTATATTCCCTTTACGACGAGGTATGTACCATTTATCACGAGGTATGTACCCTTTATCACGAGGTATATACCCTTTATCACGAGGTATGTACCATTTATCACGATGTATGTACCATTTATAACGTGGTATGTACCATTATAACATGGTATGTACACTTTTAAGAGGAGAGTACCCTTTATAACGTAGTATTTAACGTTCGTCACGTGGTACGTTCCCTTTATCATGTGGCATATGTCCTTTATAGCGTTGTATATACCCTTTATCACGTGGTATACACCCTTTATCACGTGGTATACACCCTTTATTACGTGGTATAAACCCTTTATCATGTGGTATAAACCCTTTATCATGTAGTATACACCCTGTATCATGTGGTATACACCCCTTATCACGTGGTATACACCCTTTATCACGTGGTATAAACCTTTTATTACGTGGTATAAACCCTTTATTACGTGGTATAAACCCTTTATCATGTGGTATAAACCCTTTATCATGTAGTATACACCCTTTATCATGTGGTATACGCCCTTTATTACGTGGTATAAACCCTTTATCATGTGGTATACACCCTTTATCACACGGTATACACCCTTTATTGCGTGGTATACACCCTGTATCATGTGGTATACACCCTTTATTACGTGGTATATACCCTTTATCATGTGGTATACACCTTTTATTGCGTGGTATACACCCTGTATCATGTGGTATACACCCTTTATTACGTGGTATATACCCTTTATCATGTGGTATACACCCTTTATCATGTGGTATACACCCTTTATTACGTGGTATACACCCTGTGGTATTCACCCTTTATTACGTCGTATACACCCTTTATCACGTGGTATAAACTCTTTATCACGTGGTATACACCCTTTATCACGTGGTATACACCCTTTATCACGTGGTATACACCCTTTATCACGTGGTATACACCCTTTATTACGTGGTATAAACCCTTTATCATGTGGTATAAACCCTTTATCATGTAGTATACACCCTGTATCATGTGGTATACACCCCTTATCACGTGGTTACACCCTTTATCACGTGGTATAAACCTTTTATTACGTGGTATAAACCCTTTATTACGTGGTATAAACCCTTTATCATGTGGTATAAACCCTTTATCATGTAGTATATACCCTTTATCATGTGGTATACACCCTTTATTGCGTGGTATATACCCTTTATCATGTGGTATACACCCTTTATTGCGTGGTATACACCCTGTATCATGTGGTATACACCCTTTATTACGTGGTATATACCCTTTATCATGTGGTATACACCCTTTATTGCGTGGTATACACCCTGTATCATGTGGTATACACCCTTTATTACGTGGTATATACCCTTTATCATGTGGTATACACCCTTTATCATTTGGTATACACCCTTTATTACGTGGTATACACCCTGTGGTATTCACCCTTTATTACGTCGTATACACCCTTTATCACGTGGTATAAACTCTTTATCACGTGGTATTCACCCTTTATCACGTGGTATACACCCTTTATCACGTGGTATACACCCTTTATTACGTGGTATAAACCCTTTATCATGTGTTATACACCCTTTATCACGTGGTATAACCCTTTATTACGTGGTATACACCCTTTATTGCGTGGTATACAACCTTTATCACGTGGTATAAACCCTTTATTATGTGGTATACAACCTTTATCACGTGGTATAAACCTTTTATTACGTGGTATACACCTTGTGGTATACACCCTTTATTATGTGGTATACACGCTTTATCATGTGGTATACACCTTTTATTACGTGGTATACACCCTGTGGTATTCAACCTTTATCACGTGGTATACACCCTTTATCACGTGGTATAAACTCTTTTGTTACATTCAAATATATTTATATTCAAATATGATGATTAATACATTTGTTAAAACACGTTACATAACCGTCCAATATTGTTGCTATATTACACGTGTCTTAAATATCAAAATGTATCTTGTTTACCTTAACATGTATAAATAATCAACTATGCAGAAAGTGTTAATTTCCTAAGGTAAATTTCATCTGATGTATTTATCATTGCAACTGTGTATTGTGTATTTTCCTCTTCAAAATTCCTTGTAAATTGAAGTCCCTGATGACAAGCGACATGTAAGGACACTAAGGAACTCTTATATACATAATGCATATCTTTGCATCGACGAACACGCATTTGTTTACGGTAATCTTATATCCAGTAAAGATATCACCAGACACGACCTTGAAAAGGACATCAAGTCAGCAGACAAACACGGTCACTATTTAACACATCTCGTAGATAAAAAATGAGGAAGTTTGCAGACCATATAACAATCTGCCTGTCTACAATTATATCGCACTATGCATTGTACATGTATAAAGTTTCTAGATATACTGTTAAACATGACTTATGGAAAGCGTTTTTAAGTCTTTCTTAATCTAATCTGTACTTTGTGTTAAAGCGAACATTTAGAACTACAGTCAGACCTGTCTTTAAAGATCGCCTGTCTTTAACGGTCACCTATCTATAATGGTCACCTGTCTATAACGGTCATCTATCTATAATGGTCACCTGTCTAAAAATAACACCTGTCTATAATGGTCACCTGTCTAGAAAGGTCACCTATCTATTAAGATCACCTGTCTATACATACACATACACACGCCATTCGTTTGTTGGTTTGCTGGCTTTACATCGGACTAACAAATTCTAGAAGCCTTATAAGATCAGAATAAACGATTATGTGTTATTTGACATTGATCTCTCACCAATTATACCATCAATGTTCAATAATGGGAACCAAATAAAAAAATTAGTGACGGGTATGACACGACCTTCATGGCTTAGGGAGAGAACACACAACATTCCTCACTTTGTCGGACGTTCTATTCTGAATCATATGACGAGACAGCGCCAGTAGGATGAGCGAAGCTGCTTAGGAAGCATAAAACATTCAAGTTTAATCGCCTCCTATGTTAAAACAATAAAAATAGCAGATACAGGTATTACGTCCTACTTGCAGGAACATCACATTAGAGTGAAGCTTTTAAAACACCATACTGAAAGACAAAATACACCCTTAGTTGCCTTGTCATGAAAATACTGTTTACGTCGTAATTGGTAGTCGCGACAAACATATATGTTCACAGAGAGTAAGTGTTCAACTCATCTGTGATGATGTATCTGCATCGAGTACGTTTAGAGGTAACAGTGCATATACGAATTTTATTGTTGGTGACAAAAACGTACAAGTTTCTAATGGTTTCTGTTTTATAGTTAAATAATCACTTATACTGAATTCAAAGAAATAAAAAGACGGTTAAAATACTGAAAAATATGTAGGACACATTTAAAAAAAAATAAGTAAAAAGTAGAGCATGATAGATTCACTCACCATTACAATGCCATTAACAAGTCTCTTTCAACAAGACGCTTCATCAACTTCGAAATTCTCTGTTTACATGTCTAATGTATCCTGCGCAGACAACAAGAGTCAGGTTGACCGCGACTAGATTTTCAACTCTTATTACAGGAACGTAATATTAATAGGGATTTTTCTTACAAACTTACTTGTAGATACAATTTCGTGCGTCTTTATTTTTAATTGATCAGTTTTTATTGGGTAGCACTCCCCGATTGCCAGTATGACGGTGAAGCCAAACACAGCCCAGCTTAATGTGAAACAAAACATAAAAGAAGAAGAGATACTGATTTATACACATCCCATAATTTGCCGTATTCTAATCTATTTGGTCTTGTTTCCAAAAGAGCTTAAGGTATCAAACCTCAGTATTGTAAGATACATTGAGTATCGCATGTTTTCTCTGTCGTTTGTAAACTGTTTGATATCATATTTATTTTAATGATAATTATAGTTTGAATACAGTGTGGTATTGCTTTACACTATAATATACAAATCATTTCGTCATATTCAATGCATGCAGAGAGCTGTCTTATTGTTATTTTGCAATGAAGACTACGTGTTTTACGATTTTGAAATAATGTACATTCAAGCCATTTTTATATGTAAACAAACAGACATTAAGTAGTCCAACCAATTTCAAATTAAAAACTCCTAATAGAAATCCCTGTGGCTCAGAATACTTCGTTAATGAATCGTTATTACCACCACAAGTACATTTGAATACCGTCCGCCCTGGCCTTCTCACTGAGCTCTATATATTGTAGTGACCTATGTCTATTGTTTTTATTAGAAATAAAAAAAAATTCTTTACTGGCCTAGTTGGTAATAAACAATAGCACATATCCCTCGTTACTTTGAAGGACCAGTGTTCGGACAAGGATTCTATCGACCTGACGTTTCCAGTGCCTCGGGCCAAGGTTTCTGGTCTATTCCATACATACAAATGTATCGCTCTTATGCTGTAGAACTTTAAAAAAAAAACTGCTCTCACCGAGGGCTTTTGTCTTTCATCCACGACTTCTGTAACACAATCGGTATAATTATTTTTATGTTCCCTTTCTTGTGTTTCATTATCGTCATCTTTTTTGTCTATCTGGACTGAATGTCTTCCATATATAGGTCCTCTGAGATATGTGCTTGGTATTCGATCCTATAAACTTAATATTGAAA